AGGTCAAGAAGAAAAAGGGCCATCCAAAAAGAAAGAAAGAGAGCTTGAAACTTTGCAGTGACAACAACAATACTAGTAATAGCAATGGTGATGTTAATGGAGATGGTAATTTTGCGAATTGTATGGTTATGCAAGATGTTTGGTGCGGACCTGGAATGGGGTTATCTGGTGCTGATGCTGTTGTTGGGTCGGTTGACTGTGTTGTGGCTAGAAGAAACGTGTCAATTGGTAGAGGAAAGATTGATGGAGGAGAGAAAATTAATCAGAGGGAAAGAGAAAGAGAGAGGGAGAGGGAGAGAGATAGAGAGAGGGAGAGAGAGGTATTGCTGTCAGCATTTGTTTGTTTATTATTTGGAAGCTCAATTTTGTTTCCCTCCATTCGTATGCGTGCATATTTTTTGCTGTTTTTTTTTTTGTTTGGAGTAATTGAGTTTGCATGATGATTTTTTCTTATTGTATAGAAAATAGAGATTTGCCATTTCTTCTTCTTGTTCTTTCTGTTTGTCATCTTTCTAGGGCTAGTGACTTTGTGCCCCTTGTGTTAGTGATAAAATAAGCTGCTTGATCTGGATTTGATACACAGGGGAACTGGTCATTGTTCTTCAATTTTCTTTTCCTTTATTTTTTTGTCTTTTGAAAGCTAAATGGGCTTTTTTCCTTCTTTACTTTTGAATTAGCTTGATTGTTGCTTAATTATGTGTGGGGATTCTGATTCTTGGATTTCTTTTCTTTTCCCCTTTTGGTTCCACTCTGTTCCCATTGGAACCCTCAAGCTTAAACCACTGGACTTTCCAAATTAAAACTTAGTATATTTATTATTGTGGTATTTATTACGTATTATTTTTATTAAAGAAGGTTTTGAATGTCCCAATTGAGAGCCGATTAATTATTGGGGAACTATAATTGTTGGGGTTCATTGATTCTTTCCAGATTTCTAGTTGCTTTTTTACCACCTGAAAAATCATATTTCTAGTTTGGAAGACAATCATTATATAATTAATTGAATTTGAATAATATCTTTCGAATTTCATGTTACTTAATTTCATTCCCCTTTTGTTATTAGCAGGCAATTTAAGCAGTCGGTTCAATAGGATATTGAAGTTTTTGAAGGAAACAACAATAAGGACTAACCATTTGTCTCATTATGGTTTTCCAAACGTCTTTCTATTGCCTCCCAAAGAAAACAGAATCTTTATATTTGTATTCAAATTCATGGCTTGCTTGTAGAATACCAACTATTAAAAGATCTTTTCTTTTCTGGGGTCTAATCACAAGGTGAATTGGGTCAGTGAGTTGCTTCTCTCTGTAGTTTGGTGCGGTAGGTTTTAGCTTTTCTTTGTTTTGTTAATCCAGATATTGCTGTCGTATTTGACGTCTTGATAACTTTGTTTTTAATATGGGGCTTTTTTTTTTCTTTTAGCCCTGTACTCTCTCTCTCTCTCTCTCTCTCTTTTTAACTTGTTTTTTGTGTGTACGTCTGAATTTACGTGGTTACTTGGGTGAATGGCCAAAGCTCAAAGGTGTGGGGAACCCCCACATATTATTTTGGGTTTTGGAGTTAGCTAGACGGAGCTTTTGATAAGTACTCTTGTATTTAATAAGAAGCTTATGACGCGTACTATACTATAGTATATTGGAGGTTTTGAACATAAATCTTTTTACTTGCTCTATTTTTTTGGTCTGTTTTTCATTCTCCACACTTGGTGATTCACTGTGTGTATTGATTTGTACTATAGTCTCTTATTATCTTTCATTAATGTTGTTGGCAGCGTCCTTGTATAGTTAGGCGGGCAGCAGTTAATCCTGAAACTCTTTCATTTCTGGATACTGATCCTGCCTTTATAACATCTCGTCCTGAGCTAGAAGTTTTTGGAACTCGGTATTATCGCCATATGCGACATCCTTCCCCGGATGGACTCGCTGAGGTGTGCCTTAACACTTAAGATCTCAATTTTTGTCTTACTAATGATGGTACTCTGTGTTTTCTGTGTTTTTTGCACAATTTTCCGCGCGCACACTGTCTTACTGCCATTTACCTGCACTGTAGATTGTTTCGTTTTTGTAAGTGATAGATATTGGGAGGGGACGGGGATGACGAGTTGAGAAGCAGAAAAATGATGAAGTTGGAAGGGTTGTGACGTGACATTGATCTAAATAAACACTTTAAAATGGCTTGGCTTCAAAGTAAATGGCTTCAGTAAAGTCCATGATCTTAAACCAAAATTTTGATATATATTCTCCACATATTCGTTGTATTTATCTTTTAGTAAATTTTTATAAGTTGCTTTTTTCAACTTATTATTTTTTATTTCTCCATTTTTCAAGTAATTTTATTTCTGTACAGTTATTTACATACTTTATGATTAAGTGCTTTCTAAATTCCTACATTTTTCAGAAAGTAGTGTTGTCTCATATGGAGATAGCTCTCTTGAAGTTTGTGTGAAAATCAGTACATGTTCATTTCGTAACGGATCAGTGAGAGCTACACTATCATTCACCTCATAATTTTTATGGTCACTGCCATGCTATTTAGTATTGATATTTTATCAGTCAAAGGATATTCATCACCTACCTTGTGCTATCTATTTGAAAATGGCTAAAAGAATGACATGAATTCTGTGCAGCAAGCATTTTAATTTTCCAGCCACTGTTCTTTAACCAGTGGGTTCAATTAAATTTTCTCTTGAGAGGCTCTTTAGCTGATCATCAGTGCTGGCAAATTGCAGATAATGATGCTCCAAAATAGTTTCATCATGGGAGGAAGATTGGATCGATTTAGCAACTGGAGACTAGATATTGATCACATGACATACGAGGTGCTGGGACACCATGATATGTTTTTCCTTTTCCTTTTCTTTTTTTATTATGCTACTTGTTGAATGGTGAGAGTCATGGGCTCTGACTATAAAAATATAGCTTGCCTCTTGCAAGTGGCCACTTCATGCATAAATGTTGAAGTTCTGTTCCATACACGAACTCATCTGAAATCCTTGCTTAGACAGATCCACTTGCCAATTATGTTTGGCTTTGATGTCTTTTTTGTATCACTCGTATAATCATCACAATTTTTCTGTTTTCATGGTGCAAACAGCAACTGCTTGATTTAGGTGATAGAATTGGTTATGTGAATACTGGATTGAAAGAAGATGAGATCAGCCGCTGTGTTAAGAAAATTAATCCCTCATTCATCAAGGAACTGTCATCACATTTACCCATGGTATTGGAAAAGAAGTGCAGCATTTGTCAGGTGATCCAAAACTTTGGTTTTTTCGAATTATTTGGTTCCTGTTCCTTTTTTATGCCTCCTTTTCATCTGCTGTGCTTTGTTTTGATTTTGTTTTTGCTCAAATGTTTCTTTATGCAGGATGACTACGAAGAAGATGGTGAGGTGGGAAAACTTGATTGTGGACATGGCTTTCACATACAATGCATAAAGCAATGGCTTGGACAGAAAAATACCTGCCCAGTCTGTAAGACAGAACCGGTGGGTCGAGGCTAGTATCTTCAAACTGCTGCCATTTACCCGTTGGTGTGTATAGATTTCATTTCCTATACGTAATCAAGCATTCATTCTTTGGCCTGAAGCTTCAACCTCCATATGCTTAGAAATCAGAGGCTCATGTTCTTTTTTTTTTTTTCCCAGCAATGTCATGCTGATTGAAATTATTACCTTACTGGAATTTGATGGAAATCATTACAGTTTGATAGATGCTTGAAATGGAATGTGCTCAATTCCATAACCCTTTTATGATTTTTTCTGAATGCACCAGATCCTTCTACTTATAAATTATCATTATAGTCTTGGCAGCTATAAGCTCCTAATCGCAAAATTATCTGAACATATATGGAAATTAGCTGGTCCACACTTCTTTGAATAAAAAGTTTAGACATTTGTGCACCCGTTCTCTTCTCTGGCCGTGGCTTGGCACGGGGAGATTTGTATTGAAATGGGACATGCGAGCCATGGAACCTGATCAATAAGAGGCATTGAACAGAGGAGTGCTACCGCGGTAAGAGTAGTATGTTTCTGCTGGAAGCCGTGAAGAACCAAGTGGAGAGCCTAATCACTCTGCATGAACAAATTTGTTAAAACACGTAAACTGATAAATTACGAAGAGAGAATTCTAAATGTTTATTGTGTATGTTTAGAGGGAGGTAATGCATAAACCAAATCAATATTTTCCTAGTAGCATGGTTTGATCTCTTCTTTCGTGTATATCGAGACAATTTGCGTAGATGCGTTTATGGTTTGCTGGGAAAAGGGAGAAGAAAAGGAGAAGGCCACGGAGTATGCAATAGAATCATTTGCATTTCTTAAGAAGCAAATTCAAGGGAAGGAATCTCTCAGTAGGAATGATACATATAAGCTACTTGGATCTTCAAATTGGCTGGATTTCACGAAACTGTTTGTTTTTGTGGCTCGCAATATTTTTATAAGAATTTGATTTTTTTTTCAAATTAATTTTCTAAAATAAATATCTCGAAGTAATTTTAAAATAATATTTTAAAAAAGCTTCTTGATGAGAGGTTCAAGATCCTCTGTTTTTATGAGTTATTTCTTTTTTCTCTTTTAATATTATTCGAAAACTTTTATGTAATTCAATTACACGGGGGCAGGAGGTTGGTGTCTAGTGTCTACTCTTCATATCATTCAAATAAATAAGTTTAAAATATAAGATTCTTTTCATCATGGTGCAAATAAATATATGTTATATTAAGACTATATGTAAATAAACATAATATTATTGAACGCTTAATGATATTTTTAAGTTATTATATCAATTTAGTAAATTCAAAAGAATTTGGTAAATTCTTCATCAACGCTGTCCCAGTATACAAAATAATTGATTAATTAAGCATGTAATGAATAATTATGAACTCGATTTATATGAAAATTTGGTGTGATTTTGTGATGTTTAGATTAAACACATGCTAATTTATTAAGTAGGGGTTGCCTTTTTTGCTATAACATAATAGCTATAACAAACCCCACAAAAAAGAGAAATAATATGTTGGTATTTATTAGCATTTCTTCATTATATTCCAGTCACCTACACATCTTATCTGTATACAACTACAACATGCAATTGTACAAATAAAAACACACCTCTTAGATATTTCCTTTCAGCATGCACGTTCACTCGATTGTTCGTGCGGTCACATCTGCTGTTTCTTGTAAGTAAATTATAAATATACAAATATGATATTCAGATACAGTAGCTTGAATTCAGGTATACTATCTGCTATAATATGTCCTCTGATTTTGTTGAGACTTGCTGGAGATTCTTCATCAGCTTGCCTCTTGCTTATCGGATAGATGATTTCATGTAGGAAGAATCTAAATAATGTTATGCGGAAATTAAGTTATATGTCATGTTGAACGAGGAAATTGATTATGCAAGGATACACTTGATTTACAGCCTGTGGAAAAAGAAGAAAACTGCTAAGCACTCGTCATGACATAGGATTTACAGATACAAGCATGGAATGTCATATGATATAATACGTATAACCTTCTTATTCATTCTCAAAAAGCAGGTAATACCAGAACCTCCAAAAAGAAGTATAAGATTAACTCGTACCAGACGGCCTCCTCCCACTAGATCATAGTGAGCATAATGCGGACCACTTGGCTCTCCAAAAACTCTGTAAGTAACCAAATGCTTTGGAATGACCTTTACTGTTTCTGATCCATTGACATCGTCATAGCCAGAAAGAAACGTGTATGAGAATTACTTCAAAATTTAAAGCCAAATGAAGGTGCATGTAAACCAAATGAAATAATGAGCTACCATATACAGCTTCTGGAGGACATATGAGATCTTGATCCCCTGCAATTGCTAACACAGGAACATTAGTTTTGCCTAGATGATCCTTGTATAGGAAAGATCCACTACGGTCTCGTAATCCACCTTCTTCAAATGCTGTTGTCAGCTGCAATAGAAGCTTTGCTGGTACTGTGCCTGTGGATTATTATGATTGGATTATCTCATACGTGCTATGGAGGAAGAGATACAAGTGGAAATGGTGGTCACTACTGACATTACCAAAGGCCTAAAATTAAACAGGGAGTTATTTAAGCTAAGAAAAATACATAAATTCTCAAACTCGTTAACAGCAATTTAACAAGAAGAAGAATCAGGGCCAAGACCTTAGAATATAAATTAGCTAAGATCATTTGCAAACTGGCATACGTGGATAAACAGGATGTGATTAACTCAGATGATTATACTGAAGGATTATTTGAGTAGATATAGATAGAATGAAGGAGCTGCAAGCCTCAGCATCCAGCTCTAACTTGCAAATGAAGTATATGAAACTGATAAATAGAGAAAGAAGGGGTAAACTAGGCCATTGTCTACCCCCCAATAATATATGCACTGGGAAAACTGAATGACAATGAATTGATGAAAGGGAAAAAGCTAGAAAATTTAGCAAGGTTATTGCAACCGGCCATACTGCTGATTTTTCAGTTAAAGACAGAAAAGTTTCCACAGCATTAGATCAAGAGAGTGATGGTGGTTCCATGAGTTATATTCAGGGAATTGATCAGAATGTCTTTCTTGGGGGTTGCAGACAGATTAATAGAAGAAACAGAACTTGGCTGTCTCTTTTGATACAAAAACAATTAAGTTAGCATACTACATCTTGTACTTACAGAAGTTGTTCAAAACAAGTTTTTCAAGCAACTCAGGATGCATCATGCCAGGTGCAGAAATTTGAGGATTTAACCAAGACAATACATAAGGAGGACGAGATGCAAAAGTGTGAACAGCAGAAAGTAATGCTCCAAGTGGAATAACAGGAACATTAGCTGCCTTTGCAGGGTCTGCCTGTGCACCATGATGAACAAAAATTAGATCCACAATGTTTTTTTTTTTCCAGTCATTTAACAAGAATAGAGAAATAGACTGTCATTTCACTTACCACAGGTAAAAGCAATTTGAGTGATGATTTTGAAGACGTGTAGTCAAGTGATGATCCCAAAGTAACGACTGATGCCAACCCCGAATCCATTCCTTGAAAACCTTAAAATATAACATCATTTGAGCAAAGAAGAAAAGGATTGTTGCACACTTAAGGATACCACCCCTTAAACCAATTTGCAAGAAACCATAGCACTCTTCAATTAAACATCGTGTACAATGTCAAAGACAGTTTGGAACTTTGTAAATTGTAAATAAGCAGTTATACTTAATAGATTATCCCGAGTTGCCAAATACAAAATGTTAAAAGCCATGGAATTACATGCATAATTCCTCAATGTTACTTACATACTCATTCCTGCAAAACTGTAACCTAAAAACCACATGGTTAATCCATCGATGTTGCTTACAAACTCATTCCAGCAAAACAGTAACATAAGAACCAGAATGGTTAGCCAAGCTTTATTGACTTTCACAGGCTCATAAGTAAAACGTGTACTTGATAATTATAGCCTTCATGCATTGAATTTATATATTAAGAAAGATGCTTGAGCTTTTTTATGATCTGTCCACCTTTCTTCAAGAATCAAAATACCAAACATTGCTAATAACATAGTGATCACAAGTCAAATTTCAGGAACTTGCTTGATCTTTATAACCCACAACATATATAACGTACAGTATTCAACAGGTAGATCTGTTAGAAATTTTCTTAACCACAAGCACCTATTTCGACTCTTCACTAGCCTTGAGCTGATCCTGGTTTTTCCACAAGCCCTTGTATCAAACAATTATGCTCTTTGAGCAACTACTTTCTTAACAAGCCATTATATTCATGAGCATTTAGGTGGATGGACTACTCGCCCTTTGTTAGTTCTGAACTTGCTTCTATGAAATATACTAATAGCAAAATGGCAAGAAAAAGATAAATAATCATGAAGAAACAAAAATATTATAAAAATCAAGCAAAATGTTATAGAAATCTATGTCGATGTTACAAACAGGAGCACACTGTCTCGCTGCATGAAAGCAATGCAGTGCACAATTGTCAGTGGAGAGATATAAGAAAGAGTATGGGATCTTACAGCATTGTGACAGCAGTGCATATAGCAGAATACCGCCCATGGAGTGCCCGATTGCAAGCAACTTGCCATCCTTTGGTCTGCATTCAGTCCTTATGTACCCAATCTAAGATTAAAAAAATCATCCTGTGAGTATTTAAAGTTTATATTTCAAATGTGGTATGGATTTTTAGAAATGACATTCCAATGGTTGTCAGAGACTTAGTAACAGTAAAATCATTTATACTGAAGAACTGCATATTACCACAGCTGGCAAATCATCTTTCAGGTAGTGATCAAAGTCCCAATCATACTTCTCAATGAGATCAACTTGATTCAGGAATTTTTCTAGTGCAGTTGAAAAGTTCTCAGAGAAGCCGAAAATCTGTGGTGCAACTGATCGCTGGCCTTCAATAATATTCACAAGCTTTTGACTTAAATCCCTAATTTGGCATGCAATGATAGAGTTTCTCCCTGCTTATAACAGAACTTGTAAATATTCTCCCATATCATTAAGCATCGAACATAAAAGCACTGGATATAAAGTACATATTCTTTGAATAACCTTCATCAAAGTATCCCAAGAACTTTTCAGATAAGCGCACAAGAGTTTCCGACAACTTTGATTGTGATTTCTTGGATTTAGATAAAATTTCTGTTATTTCCCCTTCAACCGAAGAAACCTCAGAATCTGCTCAAGAAACCGTCTTAAATATTGAACACAATCCTAGTGAAATTCATCTCTGCTTCAATTGCATAAATAGGTTGCTTACCTTCCCCATGGTCACCCACCAATGCACTCAAACCAGCTCCTCTAACTTCAAGAGTCCATGTATCAAATCCTTGATTAGACATTGAGCGAGCAAATGATGACTGAAAAGAATCACACATCATCATCACTAGACTTAAAAAACAGGGAAGAACAAATGACAAAAGAAATGCTCCGCTGAAAACCGATGACAAATGGAAGCATAAACCTTTACCTCTTATATTTATAACAAAACACACAAGAAATTGTTGTCCACATAACCCCGTAATTTGCATATTTGAGAAAACAACTCCAACCCAGTAGTTTTCAAAAGAAACCCAAGTGAGTTTGATCCTCATCAACTTTTTCCATGAATATATACCATATTAACATCTCTAAAAAGTAAAAGAAAAGGAGAGGTGAACCCATTAACAAAAACAAAAGAAAGAGCAAAGCTGCACGAACAATAACAAAAACTAAAACGGAAAAAAGGGGGTCACCTCAGGAGAGAGATCATATCCAATAGCATTAGTTCCAACCCCAGATAACAGCAGCAGCGGATGGTTCCTTGGCTTTGCCTATGAATCGAAACACATGATCAAACAATTCAAAAAAAAAAAATTCTTTCGTTGAACAATACAAATGCATCCGCAGCCAATGCCAACACCAATACCTTTGGACAGGGTAAGTAACGCCATAGAGCGAGTTTCCATTCAGAATTAGAAACGGTGACATAGTGGAGCTCATCTGCCGTACATGTATCAGGCTTCTTGTTGTTCTTCTTTGCATTTTTCGTCACAGCCGACCCATTTCCTGGTCTTGTTATATTCCTAGCTGATGAACCGATCCGTAAGATGTTAGGTCTCGGGTCGGATGGAGCAGAGTTCTTGAGGTGATAGAGGGTTGCGACACCGGCAATTCTGGTGGCGGGTCGGATATCCAGTTGGAAAACAGCCATTGCCATTTTATTGTTATTTTGTCAAAAAAATAATAAAAAACTGCTATATGTTTTCCAGGTTTTGTGTTTTACATTTATTTATATAATAATAATAATAATAATAGTGGAGGTGTAATGCCATGACGGTCTAGTTGGACCATATTGATATTTTTCCTTTGGGAGTAGATATTTTCCTGTCCCCTCACCTGTGACTATAGTATTTACAGATTTTGCCGCCGTTTGGGGAGTTTGTTACAAACGAAAGTTTACTAAAATTCATTTTTTTCTATTTAAAATTATATTTTTCTATTATTTTATATATTAATATGAACAATAAATTTTAAAATAATAAATAATTTTATTTTAATATATTAAAAAATACACTTTAAAAACCACCATTAAATCTAAATCCACCGGTTTCGGTTTGGACATATCAAAACGTTGATGAAAACAATAACACGTGGTATATGACGTGGCAAGTGGCTGGACAGCGATAAGATTAGATCTGCCCCCCAAACTCGGGGAGAAGAAAAGATTTTATTGTTCGACATTTTATATATATGGATAATGCAAGGGACGTGGCTTGTACACGTGGCGGGTGGGTGGACAAAGATAACAATCAACGTGTTTCCACCAGATTACGGCGTAATTTCCATGTTCACATACAATGCTTGGCTGCTTCATGTCTTATCTTATAATATAATTATTAATTAATTAACAAAATTTTAAAGAGGTTTACTTTTACAATATATAACTTTGATTTTACATTCTTAAGTTTTTTTTATATTAGATTTTATTTAGTTTATCTCATGAAAAAAATAATTAATAATATAGATTAATTATGAAAAAGAACAATATTTTAAATGAAATTGTTTGTGCTCCTAATATTTTTTAGGAATTTACTTAGTGAATTTTATGAGAATTTCCATAACATATATATATATATATATGTGGTAAGTAAAAATGACTATTGATTTTGTTTTGTTTAATTTAAATATTTTTATTTAAAAAGCTATTTTAGTACAAGTTTTTATTTTATTATTTGTTTATTATAGAGCTGAAAAATTTATTTATAAATATTATTAGTTATGTTTTTGGATTTTATCATATCTTCTATTCGTTCTATTCAATATTTAATTGTGCTAACCAATATTATTTCAGCAAATATTATTTTAGTAGTGATGATTTATTATCTTATATTATACATAATAAAAAATCTAAAAAGTTTAATGGATGAAAATGAAATTTGAGAGGTGACAATAAAAAATCTTAGTTAAGTTCTCTGCCAATTAAAAGTTATTATTGAGATTGTTCTTACTTAACCTGCCGTTATCTACACTTAATGGGTTCCCTAATTTTGCTTTTCTTTTTTTTAATCGTCTTTAACACATAACATCTATCAATTTGACAAATACAAAATTTTTATACTTAAAAAAATCTAAATATCTAACTCTTAATTAATAGTATTAATTAATTTAACTTTTTTTTATCGATTTTAAAAAATTTATTTTAATTGAAATTTATTTAAAAACATTTAATAAAATTATATGTCTGTCATATTATATTAAAATATTTATATTTTATAAAATAAGTTATATATAAATATATAATATAATATTTTTTTCCTTATACAGTTATACTGGAAGTGGTCATAAATTTATATATTAGATAAACTTGTAAAAAAAATAAAATATTTATAAATTGTTTTACAGCTTATTTTTTATAGTATAGCTAAAAATTAAAAATTATTTTTTAATTTATTTTTTATAACACTATTAAATATAAAAAAATAAGCTACATTCTATAAATTTATTTTTCATGAAAATTATTTTTTAAAAAATAAAAACTATTTTTTAGCAAATAAAGAAAATTATTTTTTTAAAAATAAAAACTATTTTTTAGCAAATAAACAAATAAACATGAAGTAGTGTCCCATATTAGGCCAAATGAAAAATTAACTTAATGTAGATATCAAGGAAAGTTAATTAAACCTTGTATGGAGGACTCAATTGTGACAAGCATATACCATAGTTTGACAAGCAGATTTATCCTCCCCCAACAAAAGAACAGACGCTGCCATGATCGAGACAACCAAGCTTAATTACGATAAATGGGTGCAAGTCTTACAAGGGAGAAGAAAATCATTGCCCAGCTAACCAGGAGTACGAAACAGATTATCTTATAAAACGAATTGATGAAACAAAACACTGAAAACCTCGAGAAGATGCAGAAAGAAGAAAGAGTAGGGAGAATGCGACTCCAAAACTGGAAAATTCTAGTTTCTTGATTGCTCTCACGTTTCTGTAAATGCTTCCTTGTATACAATAGTCTCTGTCATTTTCTTACATCCATCCTCCATGTTTCTTGATTCAGGAGCAACAAGCTTTCCTGCAAGAGTATTGTAAGACTTTAACCTGATGGCATTAGCAGTATCAGTGTATCCTTCCCTTCCAGAATCACTATAATCCCATTCGAAAGAAGTGATAATGGTGGATTTGAACTCTCATATCTTGTATTAATCCGAAAGTACAGTGCATGGAGAAATATTCTCTTCATCAAAACATTACGCAAGTCACCATATGTTTGGGCCTTGCTCCGTGGAATCTTGCAGAACATATTAATGGAGAAATTCGAAAGGAACTCGTGCTGAAATATTAGTGATGGCTTCAAATTTGCATTGCTTCCGGGGAAAGACCAATAATGCATACTCCACACAGAAGGATGAACTGTATGCCTTTTGCATTTAATGATTTTGGATTGATGTAGATAACTGAAATAATCAAAAAATTGATTTTTTTTTTAAATATAAAAGTATTGAAATAATAAATAATTTATGAAGACCGGGGTCGAACTACAGGGAGGTTAACTATATAAATTATAGACAACAACAAGAATAATAATAAAAAGAAGAAGAAATAGAAGAAGTTAAAGAGGGTTTTTGAGATATAAGATTAATGTAATGATTAAATAATGATAAAAATAAATATCAATGTTAGATGATCTACTGATGATATTTCAAACACATATAGTATAAACTCTTTTTATTACTCAACTGAAAACCATATATGATTAGTACTTAAAAGTGTATTTTTATCATGATTTTATATCATCATTTTGCACTTGAAGTATCAATAACTCCTTAACTAAAGCATGTTTTATAATAATATATCTAATAATACAAGATACCTTTAATTTGTGGTAAATATTCATTTTAAATGCAGGCCTATCACATAAATGAAAGGATTGATTGATGACTTGAAGAACTTAAATTGCAAGGATAAAGAGATGGCCAAACTTAGAAAAGAGATGTCGGTGCAATCCAAACCGGAACACTGTTCGGTAATTGGGTCATATCTAGAGCTATATATCTCAGATTTAGGTCCAATTTATATGGATAGAAAGGTAAGACATAGGCCTACAACTTTCATATGGAGCCCAAGATCTAAAAAGGCCATTATCAAGTCCAAATTGTAGCAACAACAAAGAAGCCCGAATCTGTCTTCCAGCCCGAGCACTGTTCGGTATTTTGGCCATATCTGGAGTTCTAGAAGTCCAAATGAGCTGAATTTTTTACACAAGAAAGCTGAGACAATTGCCTACAACTTTCATGTTTACAACTGGCTCCAATTTTGACGTTATCAATGACGTTTTGGGCAGACAAGAGAAGATAAGGATTGTCACCAAGTCAAAAGTTGGTCACCCACTTATCAATTAGTCATCAAATCAATAGTTCCCATTTTTGGCCTATAAAAGGAGGCATTTGCCATGCATTTAGGCATCTTGGTGTTCAGATCAAGATCATGCTCTTCCTTTCTCTCTTTGTATTTTTTATGCTTTGTTTTCATTAATATTAAGTTTATGCCTTTCATTTCCTTTCCTTTACTTAGTTAACTTTTATGTTCTTATTTTGTTTATCTATTTTTCTTTCTTTCATTATGTCTAGCTAAGTTAATTATGTCACCTTGTTAACATGATTATATTAATTATTTTATTCGATTAAAGCAAATACTTGTAAATATTGTCAGGTATTTATGATTATAACTTATGTTAACAACAAATCAAGTTCTTTTCATAACACATGTATCTGTTATATCATACAGTTGAGTTATTAAAGTGCCAAATATTTATTGTACCAAGTGTTATACAACATAAATCTAGTTTAACCATTTAACAAAGTATTAAAAGTGAATATGATAACAGATACAAAACATGTTAGGATCAAACATTAAAGTCTATATTCAGTTTATACAATGGTTATTCTTACACCATTAGTATACCATTTTCATCTTGACATAATAAACTTAACTAAACACAATAAAAGAGAGAAACATAAATAATACAAGTTAACTAAGGAAAGAAAAGAAAATGAAAAGCATAAAGCATAAACAAGAGATTAATGCAAGTATAATTTAAACATTACAAAAATATAAAGAAAGAGAGTGAGAATATGATCTTGATATGAAAACTAAGATGCCTAAAAGTATAGCAAATGCCTCCTTTTATAGGCCAAAATTGAGAACTATTGATTTGTTGAATAATTGTTAAGTGGATAGACACATTTTGACTTGGTGACAATTCTTATCTTTTTATTTGAACAAAACATCATTGCTAACATCGGAATTTGGATAGATTTGACCATAAAAGTTCTAGGAAATTGTCTCAGCTTTCCAACAAAAAAAAAATTAAGGTTATTTGGACTTCTAAAACTCAAGATTTGGACTAAACACTGAACAGTGTCTGGACTACAGAATAGATTCAAATTTCTCCGTTGTTGCTAAGATTTGGACTTACAAATAACAAAATTAAGTCTCGCATTCCTATGAATGTTTTAGGCCTTTGTCTTAGCTTTCTAGTCGTATAAACAAAATTAAAATCTAAGATCTACAACTCCAGATATGATCTAATGACTGAACAATGTTGCAATTTGGATCAAACCGACATCTCTTTTTTAAACTTGGGTCTCTTTTTATTTTCTCAATTTTAGTAGATAAATTCATTAATTAATCATTTTATTTATGTGATAAGCCTGCATTTAAGATGAACATTTACCATAAATTAAATGTATCTTATATTTATTAGATATGTTATTA